ATCTGCGTTCCTTTCCCTATTTCTCACTGAATTACATGTAATTACTGTGGTTTCTTATCCAATCTTATTACACGGGAAAATATGTTGGCAAATAGGTTAATATACAACATGGTTTTTACTATCTGACAACACATAAAAATGTGTGGTCACACAATTTACAGCATGAAGTGTCCTGAAGAGATTGCAGGCAATGTTCATTTTTAAATTTCTAACTCTGAATGGGCTCCCCCATCAGTTCCTGCAACTCCTCGGTGACAGACCTCTTTGTGAATGAAGCAGCAGGCAGTCTGCCAGGGAACCTCCACCAAGTGTCTTTATGACTTTTTATGCATCACAACATAGCAGTAGTTACGAGGAGCCCCCTTCCTGCTCCCTGGTTCAGCCTTTTATACTGCTGCTTTCTTCTCAGCGCTGAGCTAGTGACCTCATCAGGGCTCCCTACAGGTGCAAGTGATCCCCTCTGCCCTTCCAAACCCAAACTACTCAGTCCCTCCTACTCTAACGGCACCCGGTGCCCTGGGTGTTCTCAGTGACCAGGGTGCTGGCTTCCAAAGGGCTCAGTTTGTTGCTGCTAACAGCCCCTGTCACACTGCCATGATTGTGTAATTGACCATATAGGGAACATAACTCCAAATGTAAACTGTTACCTCATTATTCAATTCAGAACCTAGATCTGCCAGGATCTGCTCTAGGCAGCCATGTTGATACATAATTTTACGTGTGTTCTTCTGCACCTCATGTGCTGTCATAGTTCTAAGAGGAAATTCTTCTACCTCTTTTGAAAAATCATCTGTAGCTGTCAGTACAAACTGGTGTCACCTCTGTGGTACTGAATATAACCCGTTTAAATCTGCTCCCAGCAATTCCCAGGGTTTAACAACCTATGTGCAAGAACACAGGCTAGAGTTATCATTTGGATCTTTCCTGTGACATTTTTGTTATAATCCCATATATAGTAAGCAAAGGAAACATTATAATGTGCTTTCTATAATAGTTGATGTCTCCACACAGTCAGAATCTAACTTTTGGTGTTTTTCAGAAGTAAATAAATACAGGCCAAACTTCTGCAACTGAAAACTTGCATAAATATGCTGTCACTGTGCCAGCACAACGGGCAATAGAAGTCATTGCTGCACTATGTCATCCATTAGTTCACAGGGGCACTTGTTATAGCTGATTAGAGGCTTTATTGTGCAGCAATAATAAATACAGATAATGATAAACAATTAGCTTGGCCAATGTTTAAAAACACTTCAGATGTATTTAACATGGGGAAAGATGCAAAGTGTTTGATGTAACTGGGAGCCATCCACTCAGGTCCACTTCATTGCAGGGGTTGTAAAGTTAAGTCTGATCCAAGCAGGACATTTGCCTTGCCTGAGATCCTGTATGAACTCCTGCAAAGCATATGACAGAGGCACCAGGGTGACCAGAACCTTCTTAAGTCCAGCGGTTCTCTGCTGTCTATCCAAAGAAACCAGAGAACGTGAACCAGAGCACTCAAAGGTCTCCTTGGAGATCTAAGAGGGACCCAAACCAAGCAGTGGAAACACAAACTGCCTGATGGAACCAGCACATCATAATTGAAAGGGCTTCAAATGCCACAGCTCTGGACAGTTTCTTGTCCCGGAAGAAGTCAAACCTATTTTAATTTACAGTCTGTGCACTAAGAATTTCTGACTTACCCAGCAGGGCAGAAATAGAACCCAGGTCTCCTAATTCTTAGTCCAGTGCCACACTCATGAGACCATTCTAACTCCCATGGAACAGGGTTTCTTTACACCCTCCACCATGTCTTTGATGTCTCTGCTACTCTCACCATATCCTTCCATGCCCCTGGGGCCCTCATCCTTTCCACACCACTATCTCCTGTCTTCATGTCTCTGCATTCTTATCATATATGATAGTGTTCTTGGGCAAAGAGGCCATCACTGCCATTGCTACACCCCTAGGCACGCAGGTGGCTGACTCCCTGCATGCATTGTAGTCATAGCTGAAGGCTGCAGGATCATTTCATGGGAAGTGGAGAGGACATGAGCAGACAAATAACTGCTCTGAAGCTGCCTGGCGGCTGTCTCCCCGCTCCCCAGCAGGAATGGGGGCTTCCCGCAGTCAGGGAAGGTTATTGAGGTTCACCAGCCCCTGCTACTCCTCTGCTCTGCCTTCCAGGAAAGACCAGGTCTCTCTGCAGCTGTAGTTTCCACCCGCCACATTTCACATCACCATTTCATCCAAGTCCTGGATCCCTAGGGCTTGACCCTCTTTGCTAAGCCATTGCATGGCTCCCAGTCTTCTCCGTATTGTCTTCGGAAACCCAGTAGCACTTTCCCCTGAGCGACAGCCAGTCAGTGGGGCAGAATCTGCACCTGGAGTCCCCTGGATGGGGAGACAGGAAGGGATTCCCCATTTGGCTTGCCCAGAAGAGTGTTGGGGCCTGTTTTAACTCAAGCTCATTAACTGTGAATTAACACATTCATCACAACTGTAAATACTGGGCCTTTACTTCATATGCATTCACACCTGTTTAACTAACAGTGTCTTTTTAAACCAATGTCATTAACGGTCCCTCCCCCCCGCCCCAGTGCAGGTGGAGTATATATCAGTATAGCTGTTCCCTCATGGGGAGGTGAATAAGCTCTACCAGGAGGAGTCACTTTTCACAGAGTCATAGAATCATAGAAGATTATGGTTGGAAGAGACCTCAGGAGGTATCTAGTCCAATGCCCTGCTCAAAGTAGGACCAACATCAAATAAATCATCCCATCCAGTGTTTTGTCAAGCCAGGCCTTAAAAACTTCTAAGGATGGAGATTCCACTACCCTCCCTAGGTAACCCATTCCAGTGCTTCACCACCCTCCTAGTGAAATAGTTTTTCCTAATATCCAACCTAGACCTCCCCCACTGCAGCTTGAGAACATCGCTTCTTGTTCTGTCGTCTGCCACCACTTGAGAACAGCCGAACTCCATCCTCTTTTGAACCCCACTTCAGGTAGTTGAAGGCTGCTATCAAATCCCCCCTCACTCTTCTCTTCTGCAGACTAAATAACCCCAGTTCCCTCAGCTTCTCCTAGTAAGTCATGTGCCCCAGCCCCCTAATCATTTTTGTTGCCCTCCGCTGGACTGTCTCCAATTTGTCCACATCCTTTCTGTAGTGGGGGGACCAAAACTGGACGCAATACTCCCGGTGTGGCCTCACCAGTACCGAATAGAGGGGAATAATCACTTCCCTCGATCTGCTGGCAATGCTCCTACTAATACAGCCCAATATGCTGTAAGCCTTCTTGGCAACAAGGGCACACTGCTGACTCATATCCAGTTTCTCGCCCACTGTAATCGCCAGGTCCTTTTCTGCAGAACTGCTGCTTAGCCAGTCGGTCCCCAGCCGTAGCAGTGCTTGGGATTCTTCCTTCATAAGTGCAGGACTCCGCATTAGTCCTTCTTGAACCTCATCAGATTTCTTTTGGCCCAATCCTCCAATTTGTCTAGGTCACTCTGGACCCTATCCCTACCCTCCAACGTATCTACCTCTCCCCCCCAGCTTAGTGTCATCTGCAAACTTGCTGAGGGTGCAATTAATCCCATCATCCAGATCATTAATGAAGATGTTGAACAAAACTGGCCCTAGGACTGACCACTGGGGCACTCCGCGTGATACCGGCTGCCAACTAGACATCGAGCTATTGATACTGATCTAAATGCAGCCGCACTATGGTTTGTAGCGCTAGAACTATTTAGGTTAGGGTTACCATATTTCCACAAGCAAAAAAGAGGACACTGGGGGGGGAGGAGCAGCGCTCTAGCTCCGCCCCTGCCCCGCCCCCATCCACTCCCTCCCACTTCCCACCCCTTGATTGCCCCCCTCAGAACTCCCCGCTCCTTGTCCCCTGACTGCCCCCTCCTGGGACCCCTACCACTAACTGCCCCCTAGGACTCCACCCCCTACCTAAGCCTCCCTGCTTCTTGTCCCCTGACTGCCCCCTCCTGAGAACCCCCTACGACCCTACCT